CAGCTTCCCTCCCATCCAATAATCCCTGGGGCTGATTCATGCCTATAAAGCTGAGCATCTCCAGCATCACTGTGGGCTGATTCCCTGTCTGGAGTCTTGACAGGCATTAATGCTGTTAGCCCATGTCAAGGAAAGGTTTTAAAATAAAAAATCCCCAGAGCAGAGCTCCTCTGTCACTTACAGACAGGTACCAGTGCAGTCAGCAGTGCCTGTCCTCAGCATGCAACTCTTCTAGAGTAGAGCAGGGATGGAGGAGTAGTCAGACATGGTGCAATTTCAGAAGCAGGCATGCAATGATCACTCCTGGTGACTGCTGTCACAACTCCTGGGGCCATCCCTGTTTTGGTGGCCAGAGCCAGGGCACTGGAAGTCAAGAGCCTTATCACCAACCAAGGGAGGAGAGTGTGACCTCATTATCAGAGCAGGAGATGGAGGGGCAAAACTTCCAGGTTCATTTTCTTGCCCCTGCCACGGCTTTGTTGAGATGCAAGCTGGTTTTCCTGTCTGCTGCTTGGGTGGTGATAATACTTAAGACGTTGGGGCACCAAGAAGATGAATGTGTGTCCACAAAAAGCTTTGCTACCTTTAGGTGGGAGGTGTAGCATTGCTTGTCAGGATGCCGTCCAGGTAATGCTGTGAGATAAACTTTTGCTTGAGCTTCAAACTTCAGGTATACTGAGCCTAGTGCATTGTTTCCCCTGCATCCTGGAAGCCTCCCATCCCTCAGCAGGCATGGAAGTGACACACGCCTTTGGTGCAAGACTGGGCGTGGCCCAAAAGAAGCTGTTCTTGCATCGGTTCTTGCCCAGCCAAAAGCCTCATAATTTGCAAGAGTGACAGTCCTAAGGCACATCTCAAGGGGTTTGCGTGAGCTTCAGGGAAGCATCCCCAATCCTCACTTCTCACTGAGATGAGCCAACTCTTCTCTGTTTACCTTTAGCTGCAAAGCACCTTGAAATGACTTCTGCATAGTGCAGAGTAAAGGTGCCTTGGAGAGCCAGATGCTTCCTCTCCACCCCACAAAGTTACTCTCAATCAGGGGGGCTTCCCAGACTCTACAGAGCTGTCCTCAAGCCCTGGCCCCAGTCCCTGATGTAAGGGAGTGCATTGGACTTGTGGCCAGAGCGTGCTGTTTGGTAGCCACCCTCTGGTTCTCAGAGAACATGAGAGTAGCCCTGGACTTCCTGCACAGCCCAAGAGTATGGGGAGTGGAGAAGGAGCATACTGTTCCCCCCTGCAGCCCATACCAAGCACAGGGGAAAAATGACTAAGGGTTTTCAATGATGAACAAATTACCATGAGTTTTAAGGGGGCATGGTCTTAGCACGCATTAGCGGCTCTAGAGTAGCTACCCACACTTTCCGTACAGTAAAGCCAACCCACCCTCTCCCTAACAGTCTAGCTATCCTGGTTTAGCTTTCACTCCCCATAGGGTTCTTTAAAAAAAAAAAAAAATCCATTTCCAGAGCCAAATCAGTTCTGAATTAAGTTCCAAATTGTGACGGAGCAGAGCTCAGCCATTCAAGTCTGTGTGGCGCAGAGGTGGGCAAAATGCAGCCCGGGGGCCGGATGCGGCCGGCCAGGCCATTCTATCTGGCCTGCAGGGCCCCTAAAAAATTTAGAAAGTTAATATTTATCTGCCCCTGGCTGCCTGTCATGCGGCCCTTGATGCCTTGCCAAAACTCAGTAAGCGGCCCTCCGCCCGAAATACTTGCCCACCCCTGGTGTGGCGCTACTTCAGTCCGGGGCGTCACATACTCCCAAATCCATGGCAGGCATCCTACATGCAATCCCCAAGCCTGGAGGCCTTGGAGTTCAGGTACCCCCCAGTCTCGCTTACTCTTAGCCAAAAGGCTGAAGAAACAAGGTAGGGGGAAAGCCTGAAAGCAATCCTGGTAGAGGGAAACCCAGAAAGCAAAATGGGTAAAAGCATGCATGGAGCAGCTGCCATGTAGTAAGTCTCAACTTGTCGCTGTGTGTTTCAACGCGCTCCTGAATCCCCAAAGGGATGGGGGGAGCTCAGGCTACCCGCTGACCTCTGTCCAAGTCGAATGCATCCAGTGTGGGAACGGTCAGGCCCTTCCTGCTTGTTCCTGCGCAGCTCCATACTGGGAACCATGTGTCTGGGGTGAATCCAGGTATCGTGTAACTTGTCCTGGAACGTGAGAAAGCCGGCCGAGGGGACGCAGCACGCCTGGCGTTGGTACAAGGTGGCTGACCCCTCTTTCCTTGCACAGAAAGGCCTGGCCAGGCCATCCCAAAGCCATGTGCAACACCGCCTTTATAGGCCACAATCTGTACTGAATTCTAAGCCTGCTGTTAACTTCACTCACACTCTATTCTCGTGTTTGCTGTTATTTTTTAACACTTTTTTTTTTTTTTTGCATAAAAGCACTATCCTCTCCCCAGAGCCTGCCTGTAGCGAAGGCATGGTCTGTACAACTGCAATTATTTCAAAGAACAGATGGAGTGAGGAGCAGAAAGTCTGTTAATAGTAATAGAAATGCTACATGTTAACCTGGACAGCACACTATGACAGTCCCATGACTACGCGTTCTGTTCCCACCAGCTGGGCACCGAAGTAGAAACGAGAGATTCACAAATGCAGCATTCAGCCATGTACCCACCTAAAGTTAGAACTCGAATTCCTTCACACTTGCAGTGCAGGATTTTTTCCCCGCCGTGCATGCCAGCCTTCATGCCGCCAGCAAATATTTCTGTTTTATGATGGTTCGAACGCTGGCTTGTGCTCTGCCTCTCAGCGTCAAGAGGCAGGCCGTGCAGGAAGGCAGCAGTTAGCGGTCAGAGCACAGCACTGGGAACAGTCACGTTTTACCCTCAGATCCCACCCTTCACCTTGGGCCGGGGCACCGTGGGCGCTGCTTGCCTCTTATGACCAGGCTCTTTACTTCTCTGTGGTCTTGTCCACACAGAAACCTGCTGCTATTTAACTAAACAATTTAGTTAAGTTTTAGCACAAATGCTTGCAAGGAGACTCCTATTTCAGGTTAAGAGGGTCCTCTTACAGTTCCTAAATGTGGATTAAGCTAATGCAAAATATGTCTAGTTTAAACTGAAATAAGGCATCCTTTGGCTACCTTTTAATGAGATTGTTTTAAGCTCGCACCTGAAATTAAATCAGCGTGACTTTCCCTATAGAAAAGACCGTAGGCTCACTTTTGCCCTCTTTAAAATGAAGATGATACTCAACGAGGTTAAAATGGTGCACTCTGAATAATGGTTTATATCATGGCAGGCGTGGACCAGGGTTGCGTTGCACAAGGTGCCGTATAAACTGTACCACTGAAGAGCTTGCAAGGATACTTCCAGGCTGAGGTTGCTACCTGTGACGAGGGGGGTTTTAGCCACGCAGCTCCTGTGTGATTTGAACAGGAATTACGTGGCTACCTCTTCTCACCAGCTGACAAAATCTCAAGCCCAAAGTACACTGTGCTGGGTGCTGGACTGCTGATGAGCTGATACACGCGTCTTGAAGTCCCATTAGGGTATAGGCCCCTTAGTCTCGGTACTTACTTATCCGTTGCCTTATTGCATCCTGCCACGTCCACCAAGATCAGCAGTTTCTCTTAGCTCAGTGTTCGTAGGTCACTGAACCCAGCCCAGTTTGGGAGAACCAGAATAGGGGGTGAAACCTGTGTGGTTTCCGGCAGGTATCCATCCTGCAAGAACCCTTTTCAGAAGTGTCCCCTGTTAATCATGGGGTGTGCCGGGCATAGAGAGGGGGTGCCCTGCTGTGGGACCTCCCGGGCGGCCAGTTGGGGAGCGCTGGCCCTGGCCAGGCCGCGGTTCTTTTCTGAACAAAGAGAAGGCTTTCTCTTCCAGGGCTGTCAGCCCGGGTCTCTCTAGCTTGTGCACAGATTCACAGAAGTTTAGGGCTGGAAAGGACCGCGTGAGATCATCGGGTCCAGCCTCCCTGCTGTGGGCAGGATGATGGGGAATGTGCTTAAAAAAAAATAGAGATTGCTCATGAAATACAACAGCCCTTTGCTTTAAGGCAGCATCTTTCATCTCAAAACAGCTAAGAGGAGGCCTGGCCCCTTTCATGGATATTGGTGTCATTTATAACACCAGTTAGGACAATGAGACGGGGTTTTAAAGTGCACTTTCTGAAGGCTCTGCACTGACTTTTTTCTTTTTACCCTTTTCACGGTATTACAAAACAGCCAGCTACCATTGCACTGACCTGGTTTTCCCTTCCCAAGACATGTCAGCCCCAACTCACTGGTTCACAGGCTCGTTCTAGCATAAAAGTCAGTGTTTTTGCTTAGTTGGTGCGAAACCTGGGTGTTCAGACCGTTCATACCATTGAACCAGCAGGGCTTGCTGGGAAGGGCTAGCAGATCCTGTTTCCATGCCTGTAGTGAGACTATGTCCCGGTCCCCGTGGAACGCAGGCCTCTGCGCGGAAAGCCCCTTGTGTCACAGCATGTCTCTGTGTTACTCTGTTGTCGAATGTGGTTAACGCACAATTGGGGAAACTTCTCTCAAGTGCCTTGTCTTTTGGACACATTACAAAAGCCCATTCTTCCTCTGCAAGCCCTTGGAGGCATCTTAGGCCACGAGGGATAAAAAGTCAGGAAAGGGGAATTTGGGGACGGCATGAAGCACTCTGCCAGAGGATACGTTGCATTCTTTCTCGCATGCATTTTATGGAGGGATCGCACACGTATGTAACCACGGGGTGCAGTGTGTGTACACCTGTGTGCATGATGAGGGTCCTGGGCTGACAGCCTTTGAGGCTGAAGGTCTCCAGCACAGGCACCAGAAGACAATGTGCTCAGATGGAATAAACTCCCTCCGGGAGTCGGTAGCCGGGCCAGGAAAAGAAACCCCAGGATCCTACGTCCTAGTCCGTTCTGCCCTGACAACTGCTGCACGCTCCCTTCCCAACTCCTGTTTGCCTACTGTAGAATCGCAGAGCCCCTGTGCATAGCTGCCCTTGGGAAGGTTGCCATTCATTTACTGTTGTTTTATTTCCAGAATAAGAGCTACGTGCTGATTATGGCTGATCCAGACGCCCCGAGCAGATCGGATCCGAAGTTCCGCTTCTGGAGGCACTGGCTTGTCATTGACATAAAAGTGAGTACCACGCACATTTTTCCTCTTAACTGTTCTGCCCACGATCACGTCGGTGGGCATCTTGCATGCGTGTTGCTTGATATATTCCTCCAGCCTGCGCGCACGGAAGCGTTGATCATTGTGTTGAGGCAGTAGAGCAGCTCATGGTTTCATTTGGGATGGGGACAAACCCGAAAAGAGCATTTCCAGGACTGTTTCTACTTAGACTTGCTGATGAATGCACCACCTTTCTTCCTCCTCTGGTTCATTCATGGACGTAGGCTCAGTTTGGGCTTGAAATAGCCCGTGCATGGGGCAATGACACACGGTGTATCACAGGTCACCGTAATAATTTTCATGGACACAAGAGGAAGCCCCAAGGAAAAAGAAAGCTGAGAGTAAGCTTCACATAACTGTGTGTTAACAAAAAATGGAGTTTCGTATGGGGGAACGAGGACTTGGTCATTTAGTTCTTGGTCTTGTTGCTGGCCCTTGTTGAGCTCCCACTTCTCTGTTGTACATGTTTTTGGTGCGCTAAACGGAGAAGTAACCTTAGCATTCAGAGGTAAGTGAAATCACGAGCATTATATACTCTGTCAGTCATCTCCTGGTACCTTACATCCAGCATCTCAGTAAGGTAAACCTCTTCTGTACACGCAAGCAATGGTACGCACCTGGTTTAACACGGTGAGACCAAATGGGGAGGGTTGTACTGACAACATGACATGGAGCCAACCTTAGTCCTGGTGGAAATAACTAGTTCTGCTGACCCGGATGCTAGTCTGTCTGCTTCCGGAAGTGCGGAGTCTGGCTCGGTAACACCTGAGTTGGCAACAAATCCATCTCCTGCTTGCTTGCTGGGTGAGATGCTGGGACAGGAATCATTTTGGGTGGCTGACTTGGAGGCTGGTAGAACTGTATAGCACCAAGAATGCATTGTAAAGCCAAGCTACTGGGGAAGGAAGGCCAGATGAGTGCTGGGGTCTGGGTTGCTGCCTTGGGCTGTTGCTGTGGGAGTCTAGTTGGCATACCCTTTTGTGCTGCCTAAGATGAGTGTGCATTGCACACGTACTCTTGGGAGTCAGACCAGGGCCTCTGCTTCCGCGGGGTAGCTCACTCCCATACTGAGGGGTCTTCAAGCCTGCATGCACGTGTGTACATCATTCAGCATGCAGCAAATGAGCATAAGGACATGTTCAGTGGGATGCGTCGGGTAACTCCCTTTAGAAACCACATGGCTCAGCTCGTTACATCAGCTACCTAAGCACCACATTTAGAATATCGGTGCCTCCCTGGAAGCACGGGTTTCAATCCTAGCAGGGTTTGCTCAGGGGTTTCTCTTTCCTGGCATGATGCAGGACAGTGAGGACTTTGTGGCCTGGGGATTTTGCATGCTTTCCTGGACAGACCCTCCAGAGTGGCTCCTGTGTACTTCGTGGAGAGAGCAGAGGTTTTGTGCAATAAGAGCTGCCTGAATAACATTCCCATGCCGTTTGTTCCAGGATTCCCTCCCCCAACACACCGATTGTCAAGTTGGTTATTTATGAATGATTCCCCAACCCCCACCAATGCTACAGAGAGTCGAACAATATTCTACAAGTTGTGCTTTGTGATATTTCTCTATCACTCACCATGCTGTCTATTCACAAATCATTTTCCACCATTCTTTGGCTGGCTTTTCATAAGAACAAGTATTCCTGGCCAACATTTTAATTCTCTCCTCCTCTCGTATTGTGTGTAAATGTCGGCGTGCTTCTCTCCAGAGATGGTTGCATTTCTGTGATCCTTTATGTCAAACCGCACGAGACGGAAGGCTGCTATTGAAATGTAAAATGGTCTGATTATTTAGACAAGTATGCGGTTGTTTGCCTGAGACGCTAGAGCAAAGCTGGGCCAAAAAGGTCAATTATTTTTTGCAAGGAAATTCGGGGGAAAAAATTCAAAAGACATTTTCTTTGATTAAAAAAAAAAAAAGCTAACCTGAAAACTTAATAATTTTGCCAAAGCTGAAACATTCTGCAAAATATTTCATTCGGGCTGAAGTCTTCTGTTGTCAAAACCATGTTTCCTGTGAAAGTGGGTTGCCCACCTCTACCAGAGAGATGAGACTCGCTCTGGTTGCAGCCATTCCAGGACAGATTATGTTCAAGTCTTTTATGTTTCGGCCGATCACAGGACACGGCTGTAGTTCTGCGAGCCTTTTCGTGTAGCGTGGACGGGTCTTGGAGTGGATCTTTCTTTTACTCGTGTTGTCCTCGTTCCGTACGGCGTGAACATGGCAGAAAACCCAGGGCACACCAGGTTGCAGATCTGCACGGCGATTGCTGTTCTACTGTGCTAGGACTCCTCCAGGGACAGGCTGTAAGGATATGCCATTCAGGAATCAAATTCCCCACAAGGAAATGATAAATCAGAAGCAGGCAATGGAAATGAGGAAAACAAAAGCGGGGCCAAAACATGCTTTTGACTGAATCTGTTTGTAGATGCACCATAGACCTGGGAGCCGAGCCCTGGATTCCTTCCCAGCTGTGCCACCCTTTCCCTTTGCTACCGTGGTCAGGTCCTTAAACCTCCTTGCGGCAGCACATGGTGGTAGTGACGCCAGCCTATCTCACCTGAGTGTTACGCCTGGGCTCCTAGTGAGATCCTGTCAGAGAAGGCACAAGTGAAGGCCGGTGTTGTTATTTTTGTGCAAAACCTTTTGCACCGGTCCCAAACCTTTACTTCTTGCATTATCAGTCCATTTAGAGAAACAGTATTGAGAAAAGCAGTTTCTTCCTCTCTCTGTTGCCTGCCTTTATTTTATTTTTTAAAAGATGAGGTGTTCGGTGTTTCGGCTCCAGTTCAATCTAACTAATAATCTGAGTACTAAAGTCTAATTAAGATATCAATTAATTTGCAGCATGCATTTAACAAGAAATATCTAGTCATTCTCGTCTATTATTCTCTGAAATTACTGCTAAGGGCTTCTTGTACAGATACCTTAATTAGACTTTTTATTGTTAATGGGAATATTGAGCAAATTAAAATTGGATATTAATACTTTCCATGAATTTCATAATTGGCTAAAAAAATAACGCATTCAGAATAATTGCAGAGACTTGTGTACATTTTTTTTTCAAAAAAGAAAAAAAAAATCCTTCACAGGAGCCCTTCTGCATTTCTAACAACAGGGTCCTGAAAGTCTCTCATTAATTTTAATATTTACTAAACGCCAAAAAAACGGAGCTCATGTTTTCCCTTCTGTGCATAGATCCTTCCGATGCATTGGCTACTGCTAATTATTGTGGTTATTTTTTTTTTTCAAATAAAGGATCTAAGGAAAGCAGGGAAATTCAAGATTCAGGCTCAGTTCTGTTCTGCAAAGCAAGTCTGTTCCCATGTCAGGAGGAGTTTTTTTCCTGGCAGCTGGGCAGTTCTGCTTCCATTCCTAACCAAAAAGTATGGCAGGTGGAAACCTGCTCGCCGGCCTCTTTCCAAAGCTGTTAAAAGGCCGAATGGCAGTTCATGCCGACAAGGGGCCAAACTTCACTGGGCAGAGGGGATGGTCTTAAATATAGCTGCATCACATTTCCGGTTTCTAATCGGCATTGATAAAGCCCAGGAGAACAATCAGTGAGAACAATTCTGGGCCCTAGGGTCAAATTTGCAAAGATATGTAGGTGCCTAGAGATCCATTAAGGCGCTTAGGGGTTTTTAGATCTTCTGCCTAACTCCCATCCATTTCGGTCAGATTTAGGTATCTCCAGGCTTTTGCAAATCTAGTGACAGCCCACATCCTCAGAGGTACTTAAGTACCTCCAAATATCTATCTTTACAAGTCTCCCCCCCTACAATCTATACCAATCATTTCTGTAGGAAATAGTAGGCTCTTCTCTAAGGAGCCTCTGTTGGTCTGCGCACACATTGGCAACGAAGTCACTTGTGGGTTTTTAACTTGAACCTCAAGTTCATTTGGTGCACATCCGCCTGTGGTTACTCTTATTTCAGGTTAAAAGTGGCTCGTGACAATTCAGCTCAAGGCAGTGGTTTGTGTGTGGGCAAGGCCCTGCGGTTCAGGACCAGTGGTGTGGCCTACTGGTGAAAGCCTGCAGAAGCGTGTCAGAAGATCAGAGCTCTGATCTCAGCTGTGGCACGGACATCCGCCCTCTCTTCAGGGCTGAGGGCAAGTCATTTAATCTCAGCTGAAACATGGAGGAGATTGTGGTCCCCGGGGGAAGCTCAGTTCACTAACAGGTGTACAGCGCTCTGAGCCACGGTTGCAGAAGTGCGTGAGCTGCAGTACCTTGGCCCTCCACCACGCTTTGGCTTGTGCACTGAATTCCCTTGTCGAGGTGGGTTTTGGTCGGCAGCATTTTGTCGCTCGGCGTGGCTGAGTCTGCAGAGCCCCTTCTGCCGCGCAGCTTGCCGCTCCCTTATCAGCAGCGGCGACACTGTTTCTCTGATTGTCAAACACGAAAGATGCTTTCACTCCCATTCAAAATAATTTAAATAAAAATGTTGCTACAAAGTGGAATAATATCTTTTGATGAATGTTTTTAAAGCCCTTTAGGTTTTCATGGTAATTTGCAGTGTAAAATTATTTGGAGATAAGAGCCAAATTAGCTCTTATAGGCGGAGGTCGATATGTCCCGTTATCCATGCAAGCAGTGTTTAAACATAATCAGCCTTTACTCTAATGCAGCATAATTGTTCATTTGAAATCGCTTTTTTTTTCTTTTTTTTTTTTACTCTATTCAATGAGTCATTAAAATATTCAAAGGATAATGCAGTGAATTGGAAATGAATTTATCACATTATCCTGTATGTGCTGTAGAGCATCAGGTAACTAGGCAGAGTCTGAACCAGTTTACAGAGAAATCCAGTAAACAAGGCTTTTCATTTTGTATTCAGCAGGGAGAGAAAAAGAAGGCAGAAAATACTGTCCTTCAAATAGCATGCTTTACTTGATTCTTCCCCCACCTCGGGGAGGGGGAGAGTGAGAGCAGTGAATTTGTACTCCACTAAAGCCTTGCTGTTTTAACTTTATTTTTATCAAAATATGTTTGTAACAGAAAGTCGTTATGGAAACCATCTCTGCCAGCCAGGAGAATTCCTGCCGGAGATGGAGCGAGCGCAGGGAGAGGCCCACCCTGGTTCTGTTCTGTTGCTTGGCAGAGTTGGCCGTCGTTCGGCACGAACGGGGAGGGTAGCAAGATTTCCAGGGAAACCGAGGCAAGGCAAGGCTCCTCGCAGGTGGGATCGAACGAGTCGGCAGCGATGCGCAAAATAGGCCCCCCTCCCGCCCAGATGCTCGACTTCCAGCCACTGGACGACTGAACTTTGTTTAGAGGCCAGGAGCGCCGACTTGCAATTCCCTCTGCTCTAATCGCTGTATCGCTGGTCCTACCCGGAGCTGGGAAAAGACCCCACGAGACCTCCCCGCACCTGCTTTCCTCACCACTAGAGAACCCGCTCGCAGTCTTGCTGCCCATCTTGCCGGGGTCGTCTGACCCCAGCGGTCTTCCCTGCCCGAGTGAAGGGGGGCCGGAGCCAAGGTCCCCTCCATTCCCTAACAGCTAGGAAGCTGTCTGGCCACCTCACAGTCATGACTCCAGCTGATGGTTTGGGATGTCTTTGGGAACCCAGCCCCACGCTCTCGCTCTTCTGGAAAGCCATCTGGGGATGGAGAGGAGGGAGCAGGTAGCGGGCCTGACCATCCCCTGGGTGGGACTCAGCACCTTGTCCCTCTGCTCTCCAGGTGTTCTCATTAGGGACACCGATGCCTGAAGGTGAAGCAGCAGGGACTGTTAAGGAAACAATCTGTTCAGCGAGGAACGTGGTATTCAGACAGCTGTTCCTTCTGTGCAGTATGGTAGCAGTGTGAAAAGAGTGCCCCAGTAGGGTGTTAGGCTAGCAAGCTGCTTGCATGCTACGGAAAGAGGAGCTGCTTTGTCAGCAGTGAACTCCTAATCCCAGGCATGTGGATCAGAGAGCAGGGCCACCTCCAAGGATGCCGAGGAGGCATCGCCTTGCTCTGAAGACAACAGCCCCAGGAGCGAGGGCACCAGCGCCCTGCACCGGGGCTGTTTCACGCCCAGAGATTTCGCTAGCAATTTACTTCCATGCCATTTGAATTTGTCAGTGTATTTCCTCTTATTGGTTGATAAACAGGTTCTGGGTTGCAAGTGTCACCATAGAAACAGGTGCTATCTTAAGCAAACAAGAGCTTTATTAACCTTAAAAGTTAAGGAATTTTCGCGAGATTCGAGGCAGGGGCTGAGAGGGAAGCTAGGGGCTTGCTGGGGAGGGGAAAGGCTGCTGCCTGCTTGCTTCTGTGTTTTTTCCAGTGCATATGCCAGGTTGTCTCCTGGAGCACAATTGGAGTGTCTGGATCAGTCTCCCCTGCTGTGTGTTTCCACACACCTGGTGAGTGGACATTTCCACTCTCACACTTTTTACATTTTCTCTGTGTTCCCCAGCTGGTTGCAAGAAGCCCTGACACTCCCCAAGCTGGGCTCTGCCCTGCCCTGCCATTTCAGAATAGCTCTTTGACCCTTTCAGCTTGCACGCTCACCCCCCCACGGCTCAAATGGGGGTTATGATCTGGGTGCAGGAATCGGTGCGGGGAATACACCAATGTGTGATGGCAGGAGGTCAGGATGGTCACTTCCGGCCTCAAAAGGGTACCGGTCTCCCTTCTGCCTGGCAATCTATGCTAAGACAGGAGTCTCCCAGCTACGCTGGTTTTCTGTCCCTTCCCTTGCTGAGCTGACAGGAGAACAGACAAAAATACCAGTCCCTAATGGGAGCAAATCCATTTACGGCATATAAACGGGGGCTGTCGCATACCTGTGTTTATGCAGAACCTAGCACAGGGGGACCCCGAGTTTAACTTAAAGCTTTCAGCACCACCAGCATATGTACGAATGCTCATTAAAAATATAAACAGCCGGTGTTAATTACTCACCATCACGATTTCTGTTCCAGTAGTACATGAGCCCCTGGGCTCCACTGTGCTAAACATAGTATGGGCACGTTAAGAGACATCACCTGAACTGAAGCACTTGCAGCCCAGCTGCATGTTGCCTTCCAAGGGTGCACAGTGCTAGCACAGGGAGGAGGTAGAAATAGTCTAAAGGTCACTCCCTGGGGCGAGAGTCCCCTCTTTGCTTTGGCTGGTCCTGGTGTCATTCAGCACAGCTCCTGTTCACATCCTCTGGAGCTGCGCTGGCTGACGCCAGCCAGGGATCCAGCCCCACATCTCTAGGCTGTCTATGGCATTTCCAAGGAGCCGCCGCTTCAGCGTCTGAGGGCTGATGTTGACTTGCATGTTAGCATTGCAAGAGCGATGCAGCGCAGCCGTGTGCCTGGCCTCTCTGTTGCTCTGAGCGCAGCAAGGCCTACAAAGAAATGCTTTGTGTGTTAGAGGAAAGGACGAAAGAATGCGCACCAGACTGGCAGCGGGTAACAAGACGGGGTCTTTGAACTCCGGGTCACCTGTTTGAATCCAGGTCAGATCTTGATCAATAGCAAAATCAGCGTGCATTGAAATGCCTTTCAGTCATCGCTGTGTGAAACCAGCCTGGGTCTCAGCTCGGTGCTGGAAGGCTAGCCACAAACCCATCATCTCTGCTGGCAGCAGCCAGCTCCCTTGCTGGCAGAGAGGCTGAGGAGCGAATGCACCTGGGAGACTAAACTCCCCTCCCAGCCCTCCAGGGAATCCTTCCAAGGCCGGTGGCCAGGCACGTAGGTTATGCAGTGCAAAGATCTGCTGCCACCCACACCAGAGGAGCCTGCAGTCTCCAGGGCATCTTTCCTGAGAGTTGAATCCATGTACACACATGCCCGCCTACACACACACTCGTACACGTGCTGAACACGAGCTCTTCTGTCAAAGTCCTGATGTGTCGTTTGTCCTCTGAAGTCAAAACTGGGCACGTTCCCCACACTCACGTTGCCTTTCTCTCTTTCACTAATGGTACTCTCTGGATCCATAGCAATGCCTGCTCGAGCCATCCACACCCAGCTCCGCGGCGCACCGGACCACGCCGGAGCCTCCGAGCTAGTTTTGCCGAGGTGGTTTCTGCCTCTGCGAGCCCTGTTTGATCACAGCTCCCTGCTGTGCCAGTGGGATAGACTGCCTCTTTGTAGTAACACTACAGATGTAATAGTTAGTGACTCGGTATTGTTCTTTCTTGCTGGGGCCCTTTGTAGTCTACATTTTGGTTATTAAACCAAGTGTTTGAAAGGGAAAGAACAGACGGAGATGCTGCTTTAATTTATGACTTTGTTTCTTGGGTGCTGTATATAATATTCAGTCCCCTTGTGCAGTTCCTGTCGCTATTTGACGTATAATAATTCCATGAAATCTTTATTTTTAAGGTTTACAAAATAAAGGTCCTAGGAAGTTGAGGTGGCTCTCGGGATCTGCCAGCGTTGGTGTTGCCTTGCTGGTGTGACTGGGTCACTTGCAGGTCTGTAGCCAGGAGCAGATCCCTCCCTCGAAAAAAACTTCTCTTAAATTAGGCTGCACCTCCAGATGGCTCAATAGTACATGCAAAGTGGCACTTAGGCATGCAAAATGGGTAACGGTGCATGCACCATTTGCCTGGGCAAATGCAAGCCTCGCAGGGGCGTTCTAGCCAGCCACTTCCTCCAGGGACGGTTTCCAGGTTTCATTTAGGAATGTAAATGTCACAGAGCAGCAGGCAAATCCGAATCTGATCGCTTTGTGACAAGCCCCCACGTGTTCCACCCCAGGCGCACTGTTTTGTTCATGGGCTCCACTGGATCAGACAGCAGGGCTGGTTGATTCAACCGTCCCTGAGCTCAGGAGCACTCTGGTCTCGGTGCCTCTCTCGAAAAGGGAGAATCCAGCAGCTGCTTGGCCCCAGGGAGAGGATCTTGGGGTGTTTCTGTGCCACTTCCACGGCACGCTCCCTCCCCGGCCCTCCCTTGCTCAGCACACACTGCCCCGGAGATCTCTCAGCCTTGGCTTCCAGCCTTCAGATCAGCAGTGGATGATGTCCTCAGGACATCTCCACAGCCCTATTTCCATGGGCTGGAGGGGGAGCAGGCAGGTAGAGAATGGATCTCATGAATAACATCCCCTGCCCCTCGCCCTGCATGTCTTGTGCCACCACGGCTCAGCCTGACTCTCCCTTGGATCTTGTCCTGCTGGTTGCCCTGCACCTTTTGCACGCCTCCCCTTACTCCTGGCACAGACTTCCTCTTGGTGCATGCCTAGGAACTAAGCATTTCCCCATTGCACTGTCCTCTCACCTCACTGCCTTCTGGGCCCAAGGATTTTGATATCTTCCTGCTCATCCTGGTATCAGCCAGACCAGCCTGCAAGGGCCTAGAAGCAGGGAAATTGTTGCCTTTGGTCTGCACTGTGCCACACTCATAATGGAAAACATGTTTTCTGCTCTTAAATGGCATCCTTCGAAAGGAAAATGTTCCCCATGAGTCAGATGGAGAGGGCAGGAACACTAATCTCAGGTAAGGGTTAGCTCTGCCCCAGGCTCCAAGATCAGTGCTGTGCAATGCCAGGCACCTCTGAACTTGGTGCCTGTGGAAGGCATAGACTGGCTCAGAGGGCACATATTTCTATGACAGGGTTCTGTGTTTAACAGGTTTCCTATGAACAGTATTGGAAGTTGAGTGTCAACTGTTATTATTCACGCTCGGCAAACAGATGGGGTTTAATTGCTGTTACTGTCAGCCTCACTGCAAATACCATGTAAAAAGGGCTTTTGGGCTAATTGTTTTAAAATAAAAGTTCAGAAACTATGTATAGAAATTATAGATCCAATGTATTTTCAAGATCAAACTGTTTATATTACCTTTAAATATAGTCTTTAGTCAACAGCATTATGATCAGTGAGTGAGGGAAGGATACAATGCCACCCTAGGGCCTAAGATGCTGGAACAATATGACAGCAGTAACTTATTACTGATGCAAAAACAACACCAAAATGCGATTGGCCAAAAACTGCAGAAGAATGGGGTTGCTAATCTTTGTAATTTCACGGGCACCATTAGGGCAAAGTGCTGCCTTCATCTCACTCCTAAAAAAAAACAATGCGCATTGCATAGGTTTCTGGAGAGAATGAGAGAGCTGGGAGAGACGTGTGGTCCACAGACGTTGGGAGGGCTGGAGTTTCTCTTTAGTTCCTGAGGGAAGAGGGACAATGAAGTAGGTAGGAGAAAAAAGAAACTGTGTGTGTGTGCGCGCCTGCACGCATACATGTGTGCATGCCTGCATGCATACTGAGTGCATATAGCAGACCCTGGCTGTCGTTCTAATATGGTTTAATTTGTTTTTGGCCAAGCCTGTCATCATCCACATGTGCTTGTGCATGGGTGACCTTTTGCCACCCACAGAGCCTGGGCCCAACCGCATTGGTAAAAGGGCCTCATTTCTCCGTCTCTGTGCCTAGTGCATGATTTAGGGGGGACAAGGAAGGGTTGGCTTTAAATCCACTTTGCACTCCCTGGTGTCTCAGGCTGAACTTCACCCAAGAGCTGTGAGGACCAACACTTGCCCCTAGCATGTGTTGTAGTGTTACAAACGCTCAGCAGTGCCACACCTGGCGCCTGTCCTGGGGGCTCTGCAAAATGCTGCCACCCAGCCCGATGGAGATTCAGATCATGCAGTCACTTGCAAAACTCCCGGACTGTGAAACCATTTCAACAACAGCGTATTTATTGCAAAGGCCAGGCTCTCTGTGCCTTGGAGTGAAAGGGCAGTGCTTCTTATGGAGTGCCTGCTGGAGCTTATTCTTCCCTGACTTGTAATTAATACTCCCAGGTAATTACACTCCTGAGTATTCGAAAACACAGCTACTCAACAACTCCTCCAGGAAACAGAACGCCACTTCAGAGGATAAGGGTAGCTCTGGTATACGGCGTGGGGCCCTGGGTGAATCCCACCTGCCAGTTCTCGGGTACTGCAGAGAAGCAAGGGGAGCAGGGGACAAGGGGGCCAGAACGGGGCTGCTGGGGCTCTGCAAACACATGGGTGAGATGGAAGTGAGTATCCTCATCATCATCTAATCAGCAGAGCTGAGCCGAGCCAGTGGGAGTGGGGAACAACGCTGCCCATCCGGAAAAGCTGCAGTAAGTTACTGCCTACCATGGGTGAGGGGAGGTAGGGAAGCGAGTGGGACTTGCAACCCTGGCCTTCCAGGCTGCCCATGTGAGCTCCTCTTCTTCAGAGGTGGCATGCAGGGCCCAAGACTTGCAGGCCACAGAGGCTTGGAGGAGTGTCCAGATTAGCCCTTCCGAGCTTCACCCTTTGCTGCTTGAAAGAGTGGGATGGGAAGAGGTTTCCTGGGTTGGGCAGTCTGGTTTTTTGGCCATCCTACTCATAGCTGACCAGGCTCCTGGTCTGGCTGGCTTTTCATGCTTGACCAGTGGTGGCTTGGTTGTTTTTTTTTTGAGATCCTTTGAAAAGGAGAAGCAGGTGCATTGAGGCATCTTTTGGCAGCACCTAGAAGATCTCCTGCTCCGTCCCCGGTAGCACTTGGCTGTTCTCATTGCTCCCTGTGGACCATCAGTGACTCCTGCTGCACTTGCACCCCAAGGACGGAAGTGAACTAGGAGGCTGCAGGGAATAGGTATGTGAGTTAGCCTCAGCTTGCTGCCACGGGAGAGATCGCTCTTCTCTGGATCTCAGACTCCGCAGCAGCTGCACAGCAGCAGAAATATACCTTTGCCACTTGAGCGAAGTCAGAGGTTGCCTTTTTACTGCCCAATAGCCATGGAGATGAGGAGAGGAGGAAGACATGGCAGCGTCCAGAGATCACAGCTCAGTAGCTGTCAATCACCGTAGAAAAGTCAGCACGTTCACACCATTCCTGCTCTGTGGTATCTAGGATACCACCTCCTGTCTCTGTCTGTCCATCCTGCTCTCATCGCTGCAGCAGACTTGTCCTTGTTCGTGTCTTGTGCAGCACCAAGTGTGTCACCGACACTCAGAGAGATGTCTGTGGTTACCCACCAGGGCCCTGTGGCAAAAGCTGGCTGTTTGCTGGCTTCTGGTTGTATAGGTGGTTAGCAAGTTGTACGTCCCTGCCCCATGGGCTCCTCTGCCTTTGTGGGTGTGTTTAGGCTGGTGTCTTGTGGGACCTGCCTGGAGGGACAGGAGCCCCGCCAATGACATGTGCCGAATAAATGCAGTGTGCCCCTTCCTGGGCTGCACCAGCTCCCTCCATGCTACCGCCCATGGTTCGTTAGTGAAGGGGGGATGTTGCTGCCCTGTCCCCCATCACACCCACTTCCCAGCACCGCCAGCACCCTCTGAGCACTTGGACCAGCAGAATGCAGCCCTTCCCTTTCCTGTGCATGTGTGAGTGATGCTTGTAGAAGCACTTGGGGCTGCATTCAGGGTGACAGACACTGCCACAGACGTGCATGATATGATTATTATCATTATATTGCCAAGGATCCATGACAAGAGATGATTATGACTGCTACTAAGCGGTTCTCGTAACTATGGATTGCAGTCGGCTCAGTGCTTGCTGCCTCTTCCTCTTGGTGGTCGTCTGTCAAGAGGCCGGCCGGAGCAGCCCACGGGGCAGCCCCTGTTCCGAACCTGCCAGTCAGCTGCCCTGACCATGCCCGGCTTGTCCTTCCTGTGCATGTGGGTTTCCTCATGCCCAAATTTGTAGGCATGATTTTCATGCCAAGGAGTCCTTGCTTTCTCTCCCAGAAAGGCATGAGCAGCTGCCGAGTGGGCTTCCCGCAGCACCAGCTGAGATGAAACTGCCTCAGCCCGAACATGGTGGTGTTGCTTCGGGGAGAGCTCAGTCTTCACAGCCCTTTCTCCTCAGGCTGCCAACAGGTGCCACCTGGGCCAAGGGCTTCCCTGGCGCGGATGCACAATGTGCAGAGCCCTGCTGGGATCATTTCTAGAGCTGGGGGGATGCTGCACAGAGTGCCATGTGATGCTTATAACAGCAGCCATCGCATTTGCTATGGCAGCATCTTAAAGATCACCTGAGATCGGGGCCCGTTGCAACGAGGCACTGCATAAACACAGATCCTGCCTTAAAGAACTGAACAGACCAAATGGGCGACCAGGCAGAGAGGGGCTGAATGCGTGAATATTGGGTTGGATTGTTAAGAATTGGCCTGCACCTGTGCTGGTGCCTGTTTTTTTGTTCATAGCTATCGTAGCAGCTGGGAGAACTGGTACAATTATCATGAAAAGCAAATTCTACATCTGAATATTTCCCCCACGGGAGCGTTCCGGTTGTGTAACAGTGGACGTTTGCGACGGGTGTGCTTGCCACGCTGCAGGTCAGTGGCGGCGCTGCTGTTTGTTAATTGCCCGAGCCGCTCGATCCGGGGAAGGAAACGGCGCCACCCAATTCACGAGACAGACCAAGGCGTCTGGAATGCTGAATATTCAGAAGGAGCCTTTCATGAATGATCTGAAGGCCCAAGACACTCCCGCTGGAGATATTTGCAAATTACTTTGAATAATTAATAAATCTGAGAACTCGGCAAATTGTTCACAGGCGGAAAAAAGGAGAAACGCACCCAGGTGAAATCTGCTCTTGTACAGAGGGCCTAAGTGCCACGTGAGCCCCGTGGGGCAGGTTATTAAATGGCTATAGGCCCCTAAAGAGGCAGCTTGAGGCTCTGTGGGACTTTCAGGTGTCTCACAATTAGAAGGCAGGGCAGATTTGCACCTTAGACATCTTGGTACCTTTGAATGTCCATTAGCTGCCTCCCTGTAGGCACTTATATAGCTTTAAACATTTGGCCCCACATAATACTAATCTAAGGATGTAAATGGTTCCCAGGCCCTCTACAGGGAAGTGAATCCCCCTAACCATCAGTATTTTGCATAGCCTGCCACACAACTGTCAGGCAAATGCCTGAGGGTCTCGTGGGCTGCAATGGAGTTCAGACACGGGTGTCCTGAAAGGACCCTGGTGGCTGCAGCCATTCACTTGCTAACACGTCAGTGCCTGGGCTGTGACAGGAGGTTATGCAATCTGCAGAGAGGGGAGCCCCAGAAGATGCTCCGAGCATGATAGTGAATCAGTCCTGCTGACTTCATTTTCACAGCAGGTATCATCTCTATGCAGATTGGATTTAAGGTTTTTCCTGGATGCTTCTATTTCATTTAACATGCAAAGGCTAATAATTTGTCACAATTCAATAAAGCGGAGGTTACAAACACACTCACTGCTGTTTATTTAAATGATGGTTTGTTAATTAGCTCCTCTTAACGAGGAGAGAATAAATCAGCTAAAATGTACCAAAATGGCACTGCAATATTTTGCAGATTAATTTCATTTCCCAGTTCAGATGCTCTTTGCAGCCATGCTGTTCTGTGCTTTCAATCCCATCCCAACCCATGGAGTCTCAGGGGCTGGACAGGGTTGAGCGGGGTCAGAACGTGGCTGGGAGACCAGGGAAAACTCTGGGGCTGCAGCAAGTGACATTCATGTAGCGCGTGGCACTTTTCCTTCTACGTCAGCATTGAAACAATGTCCCAGCATAGGCCAAAGGACCGCCGTGGCACCCCCTTCCAGAGGAGACACGATGTCCAGTTCTGGCTCTTAAAAATGACCCCGTGCCTCACTTGAGTCAAAGTGGCCACACTGCAAAAAACCACTCTAGCTGCACGGTGCAAGTGGAGCAGCAGTTGTGCTGAGTTGCCCTAACTTGAGCTGTATCCTGCATCTGTACCCCTCTGCATTACTGGTGCGAGCAACAGCCACACTCCAGCTTCAGACCCTGGTGGGCCAGCTCACTTGAGTCCGGATCTCAAGCCGGAGACCACATGTAGATGGGAGTAGGGAGCAGCTTACACTCAAGGTGCAGTGTGAGCTAGTGCCGCAGAGAAAACAAGCCATACATTGTCATACTTTACAGGCCGGGAATGGGGAAGCTGGGAGTTTGGGGGTGTTGGTTGTAGCCCGGTTGGTCTAAGGACACGGGCAGACAAGGTTCTTTGGGTAAATGTGATATATTTTATTAGACCAACTAAACGTAGTTGGCTGAATAAAAGATATCCTATTCACCCGAAGGACCTTGTCTGCTGAAGGTGAGAATCAAAATTAAGAGCCCTTATCTTCTTAGGTATATATGCGTTGCTGCTTTTACTGCTACACTCCTCTCGCCCAGCCCCAACATGATGCAGCAGGCCCAAATCAAAGGCGGGATGCTGCCCCACACAGGTCTGAAGCTTGCCACCATGATTTGTTGGCAGGAGCTCAGCCTCCCCTCTGAATTCAGCCCTACAGCTGTTTTGTCTAAGATGCTACAAAAAATGTAGGTCATGAAAAAAGCGGTGTGAATATTGTTCTAAATCATTAGTTCAGGGCAGGTTTGCCAGTTAGCGAGCTATTCAGAGCCTGGCTGAGATGAACTCTGATTTCATCCAGAGAAAACCTGGCCCAGCGGTGCTCTTCGCTCCAGCTCAGTGAATTGTGGCATTTGGGCGCGTTCCAGTACTGAATGGGCAGGAAAGCGGGCAGAGGACTCTCAAGGACCTCTGTGAAACGAGGTGGCGGAGTTTTAATTTAGACCGTGACTTTCTGAAGATAGAAACGATCTCTCATGGCTGTGCCGAGCACCGTGGAGCTTAAAGCAGGGTTGGGACCTCTTAGAAGGCCATAACACAGTGTGATTTTGGTTTGGTCTTGTCGTTGGCTCTGTGTTGCACTGAAGCAACTGCTGAATGAATACGTGAACCAAAGCGCTGTATTCGATGCGCACCCATCTCTGAAGCGCCAAGACAAAAGTAATTGGGGTAACGTTCAGTTGAGGCTGAGGGTGCTTCAGTAACGTATGGGTAAGTAGCTGTACAAAGATGCTGGAATTATTCCTCAAACCAACAAGGACATTTGTGTCCTGTTGAAAAGAAATCCAAACACGTGGGCACCCTTAACTGGACCACATGGCGTTGTCACCCAGTAGAAATAGGATTGTGAGAGAGCAGTTGTAGCAGCTGGGGTCTCAAGTTAGATTAACCATATGGACTTGTTTTCACCTTACAGTGAAACGCAGTAATCCCCCTGTGTGGCTGGCAGGTTTCCTTAATGCCCACCCTAATGATGGGGAAGCTGTGGCATGGGCAGATGATACAAGTGGGCCAAGAGAGTCGACCTTGGAGCTGGCATTAGCACAGGGAGATCGGCGGTTTCTTGCTCTTGGCTCAGGCTGGGCATCTTCCTCTCTGTCAATGCAACTGGAGTGTTTGTCGGGAAGAAAATAGCGGGGGTGTCGATCAGCACAGCAGCACGGACAACACCTGCATCCTGGTCAGGTGTCCCTGCAAGGGACAGACGTACCAGTCTCTCCTGGAGCTGTGTGAGGAGCTCAGAGGAAAGAGCGATAGGGGCTGCATGGCATAGTCTGTGGTGAGGTTTGAGAGACGGGCCGGGTGTCTGTCCCAGCTGGTCCAGCTCAGGAGAAGCCTGACCTCTGTATTTCCTGCTTACAAAAAAAAAAGGCAGAGAGCAAGAAGACAGTAAAGTTTAAACCCAGGGAGAGAGAGAGGTCTCTGTGTGGGAATCTGCTCTGAGCTGCCACCGAATCCTCCGCTCTGACATCTTACTCAAGTTGTGTCTGGTCCAGATGTCAGTCCAGATGTCTGTGCCAAAGGCCCCCCACCCAAATCTAGGGGGGCAGGAGGCGGTAGAGGAGAGCGCCCGGCCTGTTGATTCCCAGGCGTACCTTGCGGAAGAGACTCTAATCAATGATTAATCGGGCATGTGTGGTTGTGTGGGAGAGATTTGTGTTGGAGGAGGGGACTCCTACAGCACCCCGGTCATGAATCATTTGAAAGGCAAATTCGCTCAGTTACCAAGGGAACGGAAGAAAGGAAGGGACTTCCCTTGCCGAAATGACTCGCGCTCTGATGCTGCCGAGAAAATCGCTCCAAATAAAAAAAAAAAGCAGCAGCAGAAGAAGGAGTCGAAGCTGTGACTAAGCAGCAGAAGTTATGTAAAGCGCTTGCTGGGAAGTGCAGGGGAGGGAGCCCACATCCTGCCGCCTGCCCACGGGGCGGGGGGGTGGCACTGACACCCAGGAGGGCCGGGGGCGAGGTGCCTGCCCACAACAAGCAGGGGGGCAGGTGCTGCCCCTGGGGGACCTCGCAGGCGTCTGCCCACGGGAGGGCACCTGCGGAAGGCAGTCTGCCCACGGCAAGAGGCCGAGGCCCGCTCTCCCGGTGGGCAGCTGAGTGCTAGGGCCAGCAGGTGTGAGGCCAGCGTGGCCGTGCCGAGGGGGGCGAGCGCGGCAGGGCTCCTTGAGGGCAGCAGGGCCGCGTGGCGCGGATCGGCAGAGGAAGGCAGGCGCGTGGGCAGCGCTCCACGCAGCCCTGCGGCTCTGGCCCACCTGGCTGCCTGCGCTCCTGGCCTCGGCAGCCGTGCCGGAAGTGCCGGCCTGCAACACATGCCTTTGCAGCACAGCCGAGCTCTGCAGTGCTCAGGATGGCCCCTCTCCATCCCCTGCCAAGCGGCTGTCTTGTCACCTCTCTCTGCACCCCTCCGCCGGCCCTTCCTCGCTGCATCTCATCTGGCATACGCTGTTTGTCTCTTCAAGGCCTGCACCTCCCCATCGCTATTCATGTGTCAGCTCCTACCTCCAGTCAGCGCTCGTTGCCCCTGTTGCCCCACACTGTTTTTCCCCGTGCTGCCACTCACCCCGGGAAGGAGCTCTCCATCCACGGGCTACACGAACACCGTGCCGGGGTCGTTTGTACCCTTTCCTGCTGTGACAGGGGGTCGGACTCGACGATCTGCTCAGGTCCCTTCCGACCCTAGAAACTACGAAACTATACCGACCTCATCCTCTTCCAGCAAATCGCTATCACCGGGGCGCGTCCAAAACACACGACAGCAGTTAGGCAGCCTGGAGTGGCGCTACCACTGCCCATCGCACCGCGCCGCACTGCTTCGTTGTCTCCTTGCGCTCTCTGTCTGTACCCGTCTTCATCTCTGGTCTTCTCCTTTGATGGCAAGCACTTTGGGGCACGCACAGGAGTTGTCCTGGTCCCTGTCGGTGCATCCCCTGGCACAGTGGGGGACTGCTCCACACGCAGGGCTCGCAGTCACTATGGTAACGCACATAATTCATAGTAAATGCCGGGGAGGACAGAAAGCCCCAATGCAAATGCTCCTGACCTGTGCAGCGTGGACCCAGCACCGAGCAAAATGCTCTGCTCTTGCAGTACATCGCGTAGCTCTGCCTCGCCCCTGGGGCATTCTGGGGGGCAGTACATGGTGTGGGGAGGAAGCGTGCCCTCTCACCCTAGGAAGGCTGCGCTTGCCAAGAAGGGAGACGAGTGGATTAGGAAGGTGCAAGAGCAGGAAATAACTAAGAACAGGGAGGTTTGGAGCTAGAAACCTTCTTGAGTGCAGCCGTCACGGGAGACCGACATAGTCTCCCCAAGGGAGGAGGTGGTGGCACCTCCAGGACTTGAGCTCTGCCAGGCCTGGACAAAGCACTCGAGAGAATCCCCTTGGAAGCAATTGCGGGTGAGCCTGTGCTGTGTGCGCAGGGCAGGGCCTACTGTCTGCAGTGCCAGGAGGGGGAAAGCCATGACCTCAGGGTAACCACACCAGCGCAAAAATCCTGCCCGGAGAAGACAAGGCCAGAGGACTTGTCTGCAACACATTAGGTAATGCTAGGTGCTTCTCCCTGAATGCTCTGAAACAACGGCACGCAGCACTTGGTGCTTGCTGGGACCATGGCTAGGCTTGGGCGCGCTCATGGGAGCAGGGGCACCGCTCTGCCATAGTTAGATGTGCCCCATGCGTGGAGCTGGAGCAAGAGGACAGGGTTATGTTTTCACAAGGTACCCCCTTGCACTGTCTGACACAATGTAGACCTGCCCTTAGTGCCAGAAAAGCCTGACTTAGGTTTGGTTGATATATAATAAACTTGCACTCCCTTCCTTCTGCTACACACGAGTGTTTTAGTGCAAGGGAAACGGGGCCACTGTGGGGGCGTCAGGAATGTGCCTCTGAATCGTAGTGGACGATGGCAGCTCTGCCCGGGGTTTTGCAGGGGTCTGCAGAGGCCATGCTTGACCAATACAGAAGGGACTTTCAGGCAAAAGCTATCAGGCTTATCAGATGTCCACCCAGACTCCTATCATTGTCCTCCACAGTGAATAGCTACTTTGGCTAATTCCTGATGTTGTGTTTAAAGTTTAACCAGGGCTCTCTCCTTCTCCATTTTCCTGCTTTTCCTGTACGATCCTTGCGGGCAAGACTTAACGATGAATTTGTGTGACAACACAATCATTCCCATGGCAACCCATTCTGCACTCGTTGGTGGCCACCCCTTCAGTTGGAGGTACAGCAGAAGGTGTGTTGAATGATTTAAGAGATGAGTTCGAGGCACTTGATTCAGACCCAGCTTAGATTTCACTCCCCCCGGAGTCGGGGGGATGGTCAGAGCCGAGAGCAGGGCGCCAGTGCTGGTTCACGGTAGGCAGGTTGTAGCACATCTCTGAGGAAAAGCAGAGAGGACGCTAAGCTCTGTGCAGGTCTTTTTGGATAGAGATCTTTTTAATCGAGGGTGAGAAAGTCCCTCTTTAAGATCATACTAAGGCTCAGCTCCCCCCCAACATGCAGTATGACGATGGGGGGGTTCTGCACAAGGGTCCAGCATAGAGGAGGTGACCCAGTTTGTACAAAGCGTGCAAACTGTGCAGGTAGTAGGGAACAATGGGGCCTGGATTGGATCAGACTCCCCCCAGCATATTGAACTTTTTAAAAAATCTGTTCGCAGTCGTGGAGTTGGGAATCGGACGGTGGAGCTGAACTTCCATTCAGAAGAACTTGTCCAAACCCGTCATGCACAGGCTGGATAGGTCAGCAGAACAAGGCACGGCCTCTCTGGGGGTGGTGTTGTGCTAGGTCAGCCCTTTGCATCTGCCAGCCTGAGCGCTGATGCTTTCTGCAAGCTACGTGTGCTTTGGGAGCACGTGTAGCTCCTTAGAAACCCTGTGGGATGGGTCGGCTGATCCTGTAGGGCTTCATGGAAGCCTTGCAGTAAGAGCGAGGTGATCGAGGGCTGCCGGAAACCCCGTACCATGGAGCAGCTGTTAGCGCTGCGTACTTGCCGTGTACTCACTGGGGTCTGCCTTGCCTTATGGCATTGTGATCCGTAATTCAGAGAGCCGTGCGGAGCTGTCCGATCCTGCAGCTCAGCGTGCTGGCCTGGGAGTCAGGAGAGACCCTGGTTCAGTTCCCTGCTCCTGACGCCAATGTGACCTCGGGCAAGTTGCTAAGGACAATAGTCTTTAGGTGCCTGACAAGGTCTGCAGAGGCAGGGGGTATCTTTATGCCATCAGTCTGCCCCTCTGGGCATCAGCTTCCCACCTGCCAGCCAGGGGTAGGACAACTGCCCTGTCTCCCAGGAGAGCTGGGACAATTAACCTTTGCATGACTATGGTGCTCAGATGCCGCAGCAGTGAGGGCAACACACATGCGACCTCTGAAACACATAGAAGTTCCTCGGGTCCCGCTGCCTTTTTCCTGGAAGCCCCCAGCGCACAGCAGGGAGCCGCATATTTCCAGAAAAGGGAATGCAGAGGCAGCTGCGCGGCACAGGAAAGCCCTTTCCGAGCTCCCCCGGTGCCGCAGACAATTGGTGTCTGAACGATTAGTCACCGCAATAACGCCGAGGCTTCCCTCCTCCACAGCAAAGCCTGTCCCCCCACACAGGAAAACCAGCTGAATACTTAATTGGAGTTCCTCACACCTACAGGGGTATAGCCTTAAACGAAATGACAGAGTGATCAAAGCGCTGGAGTCAAAACCTGGGAGCTGAGGGTTGCTATGGAGTTTCTGGCTTCTGCTTAAAAAAAATAAAATAAATAAAGCAAAAAAAAAAAATGCAGATGGTTACGGGGGCAACATAAGATGGGAAAGCATGAGACCATCTTGGGAAGCCGGGACCCTCTATCCGGTCCTTGTGCTCGTATCTGACTGGATACTAGCGCTCCAAGCTCTCCGGGTGGCGGGGTCTCTCTGTTTCTTTAGGACCCTAGTCATGCCCCCCCAGTGCCAGGCTGTGCAGAAACACTGGGCAAAATGAGGGGGCTTGTTCCACCGAGCTTTCAGCCTCAGCCTGGAGTTTGCATGCAAGAGGCAGTATCCACTAGCTATGGGAGGGAGGAAGGCCCTGGCCCCCCACCTGCTGTGTGGTCTTGAGCAAGTCATACCCCTCCTCTTACCTCTGATCCCATATGGGCATCACCTGGGTACACTGTCAGTTTTTCAATGCTGTTTGGAAAGAGCCACGAGACCCAAGATGCTATTTAAATGCCAGATGTGAGCAGTAATGAAGCATGGTTCTCCCCCGTCGCTTCCATCCGGTGATCTCCCCAAACAGATCGTGCACCGCTGCACATGAGTTTTATATCCACATCTCTGTTTTATCGCACGAGAAACTCAAGCACCCAGAGGGGAAGTGATCTCCCAAGGCCATGCTTCGAACTCCTGGCAGGAACAACGTCCCAGCCCATGGCTTCAGCCCTTCCACAAATCAAGACTCGTGGTAGAGGTGATCTCTTTTATTAGACCAACTAGATTTTTGCAAAAAAAAAAGCCTTTAATTGCTAGCAGTTGGGCACAAGCACCCTTCTTCAGGCATAGGAGAAAAGATTGTAAAAGGTAGAAATGAAGATACCAAAAGGATTCACTCATCCACAGCTGGCGGGCAGTCA